TCCCCCACCACCTTCTTTCCAATTATAATTTGTGATTCCTCGTTCTTCTTTTTCAATAGATAAGCTGATCTACCAGTTATCTTGATTGCTTAATAAAGATGATTGAGGGCTCCAATTGAGTTTGTGAGAAATGTATATTATCCAAGCTAGAAACATCTGTATGATCGTCTTCCTCGATGTTGGTCTTTTGAATTTCCTTTCCAATGTTGGTGTCATAACTTGCCTCTCTGAATTGATCAGTTGCATGATTCTCCCTGTAGATGATAAGAAACTCTTTGTATCTTGGAATTGGGTGTTCAAATAAGGTTTGTACTTCGTGTGTTTCTATTTTTCTAGAAAATTAGATGATTAATATGACATATTAAAAACCAAAATTTGAATTAATTAGGTCAAAAAAGTAAATATATAAATATACCTCAAATTACTACGTATATATAGTGGTATCAAGTATAATATCTTATTATCCCATCCCACTAAGCATTTTCGCTTCACAAATAAGCTTCCACCTTTTTTTGAGGGTTAACAAGTGGTTCTCAACATTGTAAGGGTTATAATTTTCTTCAAAACCGAATTATATAGTTAATAATCTTTCTGAAAGTTGGGATTTTGGATGTCTTGTGGATTTTATAACCACTATTAGCAAGTTCCACAATGTAAGGAATAAATACTTTACAAGGTGAAAGTTTCTACTTATAATTTTTTCTCTCCTATAGTGTCTTTCTTTTTCTTGGTTCACTTTCACTTCTTTCCATCATTGTTCTTTCCTCCATCCTTTGAAAGAAAACTGACATCAACACTTGAAATCAAATTTTATGAACAAATATTGTTTTAGGAGTTTTGCGATCACATGAAGTATTGGCTCAAATCTATGGGTTGGAACACAATTAGTGTTTCACATGCATTCACTTTTTGCAAACTGATAATATGGCGACAGGAGCAAACATACATTGATATCCTGGATTAAATTCTTGGGGACGAGGATGGTGGTGTGATAATTGTTGACCTAATGTTGAAATGATTAGACTTGTCATTTTGTCCATGTATGCAAACTTTTCCATATTGTTCATGGTTTTATTGAAGTATGGAACTTTCTGGAATATGGAGCTAATATAGTAAATAAAATCATGAACCATATTGAAAATTTTGCATATATAGGATTGGACTTTCTCCAGTCACTTCATCATTTGGTCACTTGTCAACATACTCTATGATTCTCAAGGATTACGTCTTCCTAGACACTAATATGTGATTGTTCCTATTGTATCCGTGTTGCGAGAGACAAGTGAATTTGGAAACTCTTCAATTAAAACATGTATTAGATAATTGAGTATATTGTTGAATAAGTGTGTAAATATCCAAGGAATGTCCAATAAAATTTTAGTGTCTTGTACTGGTATAACACAGATATGCTTCAAATACAAGTACTCATGTAGCATAGGTTCCAACCCATGAATTTGGAACCATAGGTTGTTGTCTAGGAGGACATAATCTTTGAGAAAGCTAATACTATAGTGAGTGGTAATTTAGTGATAAAATGTGTAGAGAGTTTTCAGTCTTGTTGCCCCTATATACAAACTTTTCTATGTGGTTCATGGTTTTATTTAACATATTAGTTCCATATTCTACCATAAAATCATTGACCATAGAAAAAACTTGCATATGGAGAGCAATGAGACCGAATACGCGACGATCACTTTATCACTGGATCATCAATCACCATGCTACTCTTGTTGTCAAGGAGAACATTCTCGAGGACAATTCATCACTAGAACAATCACTTTACTACTATATTTCCCAAAGAGTACATACTCCAGGGCACCAATATGTGATTACTCATGTTGGAGATTCACCAAATCACCAGTACATCAACTTGAACGCGGGTGAAAGTGCGTTAGGTTATGAATTTGAGGCAATACTTCATGTGATCGCAAATCTCCTAAAACAAAAGTTGTTCACAAAATTTGATTTCAAGTGTTCGGGGTTAATTCTCCTTCATGATATGACAAAAGAACAATGATGGGAAGAAGTGAAAGTCAACTGGGGCAAACAAAGAAACTTCATGATGGAAAAATGTACTAGTAATTAGAAGTGGAAACATTCACATATTGAAATATTATTTTCTTACTTGGTGGAACTTGCTAATAATGGATGCAAAGTCTATAAGACATTCGAAGTCCCAATTTTTAGAAAGAACGTTGGCCATGTAAATTCAAGTTTTGCCGAAAATCATTGTCCTTATAATATTGAGAAGCACTTGTGTACCTTTAAGAAGAGGTGAAAGCTTGTTTGTGAATGGAAAAACTTTGTGGGGCAAGATAGATGGAGAAAATAAGATGATTACACTTGATACCACTATATTTATAGAGTATATCGTGTTGCTATATTTACGTTGTTGGCCTAATTAATTCTAATTCTGGTCCTTACGTTTCATATTAATTATCTATCTAATTTTCTTGTTAAATAAAGACATTTGAACTGTAAACCTTAGTTGAACATCCAACTTCCAAAATATGAAGAGCTTTGGATTATTTGAGGAGAGTATCATGCAACTAGTGAATTGAGAGAGACAGACTATAATGCTGATATGAAAAGAGAGTTCCAAAGATCAATATCAAGGAGGATGATCATACAAATATTTCTCTCTTGGATGGGGTCCATGTTCAATAGCTCAATGGAGTGGGGCCTTCAACCATCATTATCAAGCGTGAGCAAGTAGTATTAAAAATTAACAATTGGAGAGAAAGTACTAGAGGAATTAAAAATTAAAAATTAACAATTGGAAAAGAGAAAGTAGTGGAGGAATAAAAAATTAACAATTGGAGAAAAAGTCTATTGAAAAAGAGAGAGGAATTAAAAATTAACAATTGGAGAGAAAGTAGTGGAGGAATTAGGAAAGATAGTCAAATATAATATTGCTTTTAAGGAGAGAAATTGTACTGAGCATATTTTGGAAAAAGTTTTGGGTTTTGAAGGTTTTGCCACAGATGACCTTGCATCGTTGTAGAATGACTTGTATAAGAAAAAATTTCATGCAAATGCTTTTGTGGTATAGCCAAACTACTCCTAAAAAAAAGGTAGAATTCCTAACATGTTGCAAAGAATGGGGAAGAGTCTAACTTTGCACAATACCAAGGGGGAATACATGAAAGTCACTCCTTAATTAACTGCTTTTGATTTTAACCATTTTAGGGGAAGTTTTCTTAGAAATTAGATCTTTATTGTTTTATCTTAAACTAATGGATAGCGGTTATGCATGTTGGTGTATTTTAGTTTATGCATGTTGGAACTTTGAGATGAATATGTTTTATATACCTACTACATATTCTTCTTCTATGACAATACAAATAAGAATAGTCATGGAAGTGAGATTTATTAGTTATTTTCTAACAATATCTGCAATTGTTATCCAAAAAAAAAGGAAGAAGAAAAGAATGAGGAAGAAATATCATTTTCAATATTTCCAATAATGCGTAAAATAAATGAATAAGTACTACTTCCACCACATCTTGTTCCATAATTTTGAATTTTACTTCTATTCGCTTCTTATTTTTAATATTTTTGCCAACCAAATGGGCTCTTAAGGAAGTACCAAAAGTAGGGTTTTCAAATAAAGTAGTAGTTTTTTCTTCTTCTTAGTTCTTAGAAGTAGGCTAATAGCATATATTTCATTTACTTCAGCTACTTCCACTCAAACAAGCATGCCCTAAATGAACTGACAATTTTTAAAAAAACTACATCAAATACTATAAATTTCATGGAAGAAAGCTGCAACCTATGTTACCCGGGTATTTCTATAATCAAGCCGTATCCGTACCGGACACGTACCCGACACTTTCCCGTACCCAAACTTCATGAACACTTCTTGAATATATACATGCATTTATTACAACATGTACTCAATTATACAATATCTGTGTTAATTTAAAACACTTGTCAAAGACTTCCTGGACATAGAGCTTACACTTCACATCCGTCTTTTGAAACTAATGAGATACGGGTCGGATATGTTTCAGTCCATACCCAAGTTTAAAACTATATAGTTAATGGGTCGTTTAGATGTCTAGTAAAAAAAATGAGTAGTTTACAATTCACGATAATTAATATGATAAAAGATACTCAAAAATGTGATCGGAATTTTAATTCTAATGACACATGAAGGGGAAAAATTATCTTATGTACAGTAGAATTTTAATTCTAATGACACATGAAGGGGAAAAATTATCTTATGTACAGTATTAATTCAATATATATATGTAGTCGTGTCCCCGTACCCTACATTTTAATTAATTCAATATATATATGTAGTCGTGTCCCCGTACCCTACATTTTACAGTTTTGCCGTGTCCCGTACCTACACCCGCACCTGTACCAGTACCCGTGCCCGTTTCCATGCAACTTAGGCTGCAACCTTCGGAAACAAAAATTGTAAAAACAGAAGTCACCTCATCAAAAAATTCTTTCATGTTCCAAACAGGAAATCATCTATTGTGTTTCATTATATGATAGGATCTCATAGTTTTTCCGACAATATTTTTTCAAACAAGCACTAAAATTGCACTGGAAATATAATTGCTATAATGAAATTGCAGTAGCCAAACAATGGATTTGAAGTTGATTTCTTGCAATGAATGCTACACGCAATATTTTTTGTTGCAACATTTGTTACAATTTATTTTTCACAGCAAACCAAATAAGTAACCCTTAGGTTTGTGAAACTCCTGAATATGAGAATTTCAATTATCTAATTAAGAGTAGAAAAGGCAATAGTAGCCATTATTTTTATTTTTATTAAATTTAAGGCTAAGCCCCTAGGAGCATAGGAAATTATTGAAAAAAAAATATATAGGTTGCAAGTCTCGGTTTTAAGCGAAATTGCTCATGCGGTAGAGAAATTGATTAAAATGGGGGAAATTTTTCTGAGAGGAGCTACTGCCGTATTTGAAAGCAAGAAGCTTATTGTTTTATAATTGATTCTCTTATTTATTTCTTTGATACTATAGGCAAGATGCATTCACACTGGATGTCCTGGAGGTACCCCAAGGGTCGGGTTCAGGGTTTGTTTGGGACAAACAGGGACACATTGTGACCAACTATCATGTTATCCGTGGGGCATCCGATCTCAGGTTGGTGGGACCTTAATTTATTATGACTTCATTTTTGTAGTGTAAAAAATTTAATCAGCAATCTTATTGAACTCCAGTGTCTTAAAGCAGCTTTCGTTGGTATATTACTAATTGTATGTTACCTCTGTCTTTCTTATATTTGAAATTATTATGTGTTTGATCTTTGGAAGAATGATAACATTTCAGTGAGAGATTAGTGTTGGAACTATATATATATTTTAAAAATAGCATGATTCGGAAGTGTAACAACTGTACACTTCCATATGAAGTGTGAATTGTGAATTTTTGTGTTCTTCAGATAATCCTTTTTGCTCCTTAAGTATGATATGAGATATGCTGGTGCACAATAATATTAAGTCATCCACTGTATTTTGTTGCTGAAAGCTCTAGAGAGGTCATATCCTTTTCCTCACTACTAATGCTAATGATGCACTTAGAATATTTTCCATTTTTTGAAGTCATAAGTGCCTCTATGTTTGAATGCCGGCGTCACATTCATATTAGTGTGCTAGTTCATGGACCATGTTTCTCTAGTGACCTTGAATATAATTTTATGTATGAGGCTTGCATGTTCTAATATATTGACATGTTACTCATTTGAATTTTCGAAATGCATTTGCCTTGTTTGTGCTAAATCATGCCAACTTCTCCCTGCCAAAATAATTCTGGACTTGCTAGTTTTCGTACAGGGTCACTCTTGCTGATCAATCAACATATGAAGCAAAAGTTGTTGGATTTGACCAAGATAAGGATGTTGCTGTCTTGCGTATAGAAGCGCCAAAAGATAAATTGCGACCCATTCCAATAGGCATCTCGGCGGACCTCCTAGTTGGTCAGAAAGTTTTTGCTATTGGAAATCCAGTGAGTGATGTATCCTTATTGTCCAATATTCACTTTTATTTGCGCTTGTATCTAAAACTAGTTGCTGGGTTCCCATGCATTAAGCTTGTCCATTTTGATAATGGCTAGCAACCATCTTATAGATACAACAAACAAAGAAAAGTGTGTTTCTTCTGTAATCCATTATCATTGAAAATCTTGTTAGGATGCTCTATCTGCATGACTGCATCTGATGGTTTATGTTGAGAAGCATTATTTTGGATACATGGATTTTGTTTAGCTGGAGAAGGATTAGATATTGATTTTGACATTGCATAGCCGAGTTCTTTGAATTAAAATATATTGGTTTGTCGGGACTAGTGCTAAAAGCACATTCTATTGGAATTGAATGGGCATAAAAATAAAAGCACATTTTATCTTTATATTTTAGAAAAGAAGAAAAAGAAAACTCTTTATGGGGACGACTCTTATGAAAGATCTATATGGGAATAACCCTTTTGCAAACTCTTTTATGGGGATAATTCTTATGGATCTCTGAGATGACTAAAGTTCATTTTACCTTGTTTGCAGTTTGGCCTTGATCACACACTTACAACAGGTGTTATCAGGTTGGCAATTTTGTTAACCTTGGTCTCTTTTTTCTAACATCGTGCAATTAAAAAGAAAAGTTTATACCTGGCCAGACTATGGCCTTTGTTTCCCCCAAAAAATAAATAAATAAACTAAAAGGTTGGCAAGTGGCTCACACATTATTTTGACAAGAATATTTCTTGTTTTTCAGTGGGTTGCGCAGAGAAATAAGTTCGGCTGCCCTGCCACTGGACGACCTATACAGGATGTTATACAGACCGATGCAGCAATTAATCCTGGGAACAGTGGTGGGCCATTGCTTGATAGTTCTGGAAGTTTGATAGGAATAAATACAGCTATATACTCGCCATCTGGAGCATCATCGGGCGTTGGCTTCTCGATTCCAGTTGATACTGTGAGCTACAGATTCAGCTATTGCGTTGTTAAGATTGTAACTTGAAACAATAAAAACTGTGTTGTTTCTAGGGTTAGCTGCGGATAGATCCCCTGTACTATGCCCAATTGCGGACAGACCGTCCATAGTTCTATTATTGTAGTTAGACCTGAGTAAATTTTTTTTTGAGTCTTTTAACCTCAGGGACAGAGAAATTTGTTTTTTGACAAATTGACCTTCTGAGGTTAAAAGAGTCAAAAAAAAAATCACTCAAGTGGTCTATCTGCAACAATAGGACTAAGGGGTCTATCTGCAATTGAGCAATAATACAGGGGGTTCATATGCAATTAACCCCTATCTGGAAACTGGTAGATTTTGTTTTGTTCATGTACCTCACGCATATACTTTTTTGTGTATCTTCAAGGTTGGCGGCATTGTTGATCAACTTGTAAGATTTGGCAAGGTTACAAGACCTATTTTGGGGATCAAGTTTGCGCCAGATCAGTCAGTAGAGCAGCTTGGAGTCAGTGGGGTGCTCGTCTTAGATGCTCCTCCGAATGGTCCAGCTGGCAAAGCGGTATTCTTAGAATCTCTTTTCATATTTTATATAGTTTCCTACCTTTTTGGTATGTTTAAATCTGAGTAAAATAAACATGGACCACTAACATTTTTATCTGATAATGACCTAAGTATAAAATTTTGTTTGCTGCATTAAATTACTTGGATGATCCAAGGCCTTAAACTTGGTGCGCAAGGGGTGATGACAGACGACGGTAACCTTTCTGCTAAGAACAATAGATAGATAAACATCATGGACATGAGACACAAGATATGTATGTTCAAGACATTGGGACATGACGATATTACACTATAATTTAAAAGAGTGTCCATACATGAGGACCAAACCCATTTCTAATATATAAAACAGAAAATGATTGCGTAATTACCAAAATTTTGACTTGTCGTACTTTTTTGTTTGACTTAGGGGACCAGGTAGATTTTCAATTTTCTTCAAGGAACATAATTTTTACTTTTTATGTTGAAACATATGTAAGCTTAGCAGTTATCATAGTTTTGTATAAGATGATTAACTCAGCATTATGTTTTACTGAAGTATGAAGTGAAAGTGAAGAAATATTTCAAACATGTAAGTGAGCAAGTATAAGAAATTTTTTTAGGTGTCTGACAAATGCTATAATTGAAATAACATTATGTTGTCGAGTGCATATAATTTGAAGAGTATAAGACATGTAAGTTTAGGAGTGCTTAAGAAGTGCCGGTATCCAGTGGGTGTGACTTTATTGTAGAGGTAGCCACGTTACATATTTTCTCTGGCTGTAACTTAACCGAATTTACTTGCCACAAGTACTGCCTCAAAACATCATAAGTTTGATGATACATGGAACTATGGTGTATCTGCATGAAAAGGAAGTGATGGAAGGGTTGGAAACCTAAGGATGTGTGTATGAGGTCATTGCTTGCCACTATATTAAATATTGACGCAAGGGTTAATTGTGCATAGACCCTTGTAGTATGGCATTTTGAACTTAATACTCGTAGTTTCATTGTTGCAGATAGACCTCCTGGTTAATTTATTTGATATTTCCCATGAGTGAGATTCTTAAGTCTATTTGAGGGTAAAAGAGTCAAAAAAAAATTAACACCTGTTTCACCAAAAAACTACAAAGGCAGGAAGTTAAGAACAATGGTACTACAGGTGGTCTATGTGCAATTAACCGTTGACCTAATTATGCAGTATATGATTTGGCCCTTCTGTTTTTCTTGGAAATATCTCTGTGAGATCTGCTTGATTATATGCAGGGTTTGCAACCAACCAAGAGAGACTCCTATGGCCGGCTAATCTTGGGGGACATCATAACATCTGTTAATGATAAAAAAGTCTCAAGTGGGAGCGACTTGTACCGAATTTTGGATCAGTGCAAAGTTGGCGACACAGTAATATCTCAATCCTATCATCTATTTCTGATCGTGTTGTTGCATGCTTGTGTTAGTGTCATTGAACATGGAATTAATTTCGACCTATGTCTTTTTTACTGCCAAACTTTCATTCCACATCGCGGATTGCTGCGTTGAATTAGCATTAATATCTCTATAGAACCATGTTTAGGTACTGCTTGGCATTAACCTTAGGTAACCAGATTGAGCGGAACAACAATTGGACCAGGAATAATCCTAGTTTGGCAACATCTATATACTGGACTTAACTAGTTTTTGGTAGGCCAATTTTTGCCCAATAACCACGCTAGGAACAATCCAAGCCCCCCGGTTCAGAACTAATCTGGATTATGCTGGTCCAGAATTAATCTGGATAGTAATCAAGTCGACCCTCAAGCTTTCTACAAAGAAAGAAAATGGGAAGAGAAAATCAAATTGCTCATCCATGGGAATCAAATTTACCTACTAAACAGAGCAATTCTTCCATTGCAGGTTGGGCAAATTGATTTTACATTTTTTTGTGCTAAAAGTTCTTGTCTTTTTTATTTCTTAGGTGATGGTTGAAGTTCTTCGAGGTGATCATAAAGAGAAATTGCCGGTTGTCCTTGAACCAAAGCCGGATGAATCATAGTAGCCATAGGTCACATTTCAGTACATGTTCCACTCATTGATAGATTGTATATAGAGATGCATTTGTCCAGGAAATGTCATCAATGTATTATGTGTTATTTCGATGCATTTGTCGAGGAAATGTCATCAATGTATTATGTGTTACTTCGGTGCTTCTAAATGAAAAGGAGGTCCTTTGTACATTGATAGTACGAGGTATAGAAGCCTCAAATGTGTATCGAACTGGTTTATTGGAGTAAAATCCCTTCTTATTGACCCCAAACCCTACAAAATTGCCTCCTGATAATTTGCAAGTGTTTCCTAATGTTTTGCTCTCTGCGATGGCCAAAGCACTTTCTGTATTATGAATAGTTGTGTTATGGACTTATTTCAGGAACTTGTGTGATCTAGGAAATGAGAGGCAAAGAAGAAGAATTGAGTTAAATGCAGTTGCTGCTGCTGTTTGCGTGCTAGCTTGTTGTGTTGCACTTTTTTAAGTTAAATGGTGCCAGCCTCATACGCACCTCAAAGCAACGTAGTTACACAATTTCGCTTATGATTCAGTTATATGTCCGTGCAGCTTTAGAATCAACCCCAGACGTGAGTAACTGAGGGTAGAAATGAAACTCACAGCGTACGCAGTTAACAACTAATCCCACAGAAAGTTAGCTATTTAGAAGTAGAAGAAATAAATAGCGGGAGGACTAATATGAAGTAAGGACAAATTTTGAAAATCGACTTTTTTTTAAATTTAATAGGCAAAATCGACCGTGTAATAATAAAATGAGCAAAATCGACCCTTTTTTGCACGGGACTGCTAGTCCCGTGCAAAAAAGGTCGCTTCCGCAAAAAAAATTCTCCGGTCCTCAACCCATCCCCTCATTCCCTCTCTCTCTCTCTCTCCCCTTCATTAACCCATCCCTCATCTCCGTTCCCTCTCTCTCTGCAAAAAAAATTCTCCGGTCCTCCAATACCACACCAGACCCCTCTCTCATCTCCGTTCCCTCTCTCCATCTCTCCTCCCTCTCCCTCAAACCCAACAGCAACCCATCACCCCTTCTCTCTCTCCTCCATTCCCCAAACGCCCCTCCTCCATCGCCATCGGGCCGCCCAAGCCGCGCCCACCTCCTCGACCTACACCCGACCACCTCCCTGAGCCCAAGCTCCGACCCGAGCCCCCCTCTCCCTCCAATCCCCTTCTCCACCGCCTCCTCATCATCTCCACCACCATCAGCCCCGACGCCGCCGTGAACTCAACTCCACCTCCTCCGCCAGCTCGCCGCCGCCGCTGTCCTCCGTTCCCCTCAGCCCCGACCATGCTACCACCCGCCGCCACGTCGAGCCGCGCCACCACCCAAGCCCTCCCCCGCTGTCCAGTGAAGGTGTCGGTGCTGGTGGTGCAGCAGTGCAGGGGGATTTGGGAGGAGAGTGTTGGGGGGATTTGGGGGAGGAGGGTTGATTTTGATTTTTTTAGCAGGATCGTCTTTTTTTTGGTGTGGGATTGGAGGAGAGGGAGAGAGAGATGGAGAGGGGATGGGTTAATGAAGGAGAGAGAGAGAGAGGGAATGAGGGGATGGGTTGAGGACCGGAGAATTTTTTTTGCGGAAGCGACCTTTTTTGCACGGGACTAACAGTCCCGTGCAAAAAAGGGTCGATTTTGCTCATTTTATTGTTATACGGTCGATTTTGCCTATTAAATTTAAAAAAAGTCGATTTTCAAAATTTGTCCATGAAGTAACTAATAGGAGAGTTTTTTTTAAGGACTATTTTTGAAAAAGTGATAAGCAAAACCGACTCTTTATACTGACTTTAAAATACGCGGGGATTGTTATTCCCGTATAATTAATGATCTCTAATCAGAACTAAACTAAAATAGTTGTCTTGCGTACTTTGTACTGAAACGCTTAAGGTTTAACTAATGAGAACTTAATACATGAGACTACTAGTCCTGTGTATTTTAAAACTAAATTTTTGCAAAGTCAATTTTTTTTAAAAGATGTCGATTTTGCTAATAATTTTATAAAAAGATTGATTTTACTAATTATTTCTCAAAAAGAGTCTATTTAAAAAAAATCCCCAAAATAATAAGAGCATTTTCAAGGATGCGAGGGATTTATCCAAAGGAAAATGATAGAGACACACCACCAACCACAACTTCAATCACATCCTCCCTCTTATTTGCTACAGTATACCGGGTCTCACATGAGATTTTAAATTTTTAAAATCCTACGTGAGACCCGGTGTACTGTAGCAAGGGAGAGGGAGGGTGTTGTTGGAGTTGGGGTTGGTGGTGTGCCCCTCGTGCTACTTCCAAAATGAAGATTTCATTGGCCAACATCGGAAACACCCGTTAAATAACACCCCCTTCGAAAAATACCCTGAACCCACCCACCCACAAAAAAAAGAAGAAAAAAATCGCCAAAACCCTAAACCCTAAAACATGGAGATCGACTCCTCAAATTCTCATCCTACGAGCTTACTCGAAAAAATCGTCGTGAGTATTTAGTCACTCACCACTCCAATGCTCGTTTTCGTATGGTTTCCCCCCCCCTTGTTATGAATTGGTTTTGGTTGATTCCTTTTCGATGCTTAGGTTCCTGGAGATGTTGTTCTTGATCTCTCCAAGTTAACGAATCAGACAATCAAATTAGGTGCAGGATTGCGTCAGGTATGGATTGCATTTTTCTAGGTTTAGGGTTAATGATTGTAGATTTTGGTATCATTTTCCAAGTTTGGATTTGGATCAGTGATTGGTTCTGCAATTTGATATAGTATCTCTCCGTAACGAACAAATTAAGAACACCTAGAAAAGAAAAGAAACAATTAGGCAATTAACACTATATTAAGAAAAGAAGTTTCATATGGAGAGAAATTGCAGAAGTAAAGAAGACTGCCCGACATCTGTTAGAATTAGATAATTAGGTTCTAAGGGTGCCTAAACTCGCTTGCGATGCTAAACAAAGGAGTCCTCTTGATATTGCTTAGATACCATCGGTTTTTTACATTCAAGTACTATATGATTCTAAAGTTGCAAAATACTTACTAATAAACCCCTCCAAATTGTAACTCATGTATAGGGAGTCTTTGGCAGCATTTGTCATGTATTATATTAGCTCATTAAATTTTGTCTCTTTTTTTTGGGTAGGAATGTGATACGATTTCGTCTATGAAAGCAGGGAAATTGAGGCACTTGAAGCCAAATAAATACTGGATTGAGAGCTCCGAAAAGAGAGTGGGTTATTTTTAATAATTTGCTTCTCTTTGATCTCTAACTTCTTTTGTCCAACGAAAATTATTTGTGTCGTATTGTTTTGTTCTAAATTTATCCTAACAGTTCTCTGAATGATCAAAAGGGAAAGCAATATGAACTTGAGCATTGTTTTAATATCAAAAACTTGTTTGCGTAATAACACACCTGAAATTCTGGCTATCCAATCATTATAACTTATCCTTTTTGTTATTGCTTGTAGAGTTGCCTCTTAAATGTTTTGTACACCAGGACACCCTTTTCGTTCATCAATACCTCGTTAGATTTTCCTTGTATCTGTCATTCTCATAGTGATACTTCAGTTGCATCTTGGTTGACTGAGCAATAGAGTACTAAGTTTTGTAGCATAAGGGCGCTAATAGATATCCCTTAAAGAGAAGAAATATCTGAAATTAATGACTGTAACCATTTTACATACATTTATTAGTATTTACTTGCGTTCTTCTGTTCTCCCATTGTTTTAGACGTTCCTTGTTACTAATACATCCAATGGCAGATTTATCAGACAATTTCTCTAGATAGTATGCTGTATCAGTACCCCCTCTAGCATGTCGTCTCCAGGAGGCCTGTCATTCACAATTGTACTTCTCTTAGGTAGTAACATGTTGTTAACTGGCTTCATCTAGATGTGTATATAGCACTTCCTCTAGACCTTCTATACAATCAGTATTCGTGGAATTTTAATTCTACATAGCTCGTTATGCACTTTTCAATTATGGGATCTACCAGCTTCTCTTAATTGGTGATCTGGAACATGCTGTCTGCTCCTTTCTGTTACTATTTTGTGCGGAACCCTAATAAAGATTGCAAAACCAGGGCTAGTTTCACAGCAAAAGTTTTGAAATAGATTAAGCTCTTTCATTGACGGTCTCCACCAATTTCCTTTTGACTAGGATGTTTTCTGTAATCTTTTTTCTTTTTTGTTCCATCTGTATGTAATGTAATTTTTTTTTCCTTTTTTGTGTTCTAGAATCTAGTTATTATGATTTTGTTTCCTAGTTTTTATTTTGGCATATCTTTCTTGCTTGATTTTTCGGGAATCATTATATCATATATCACCCTTAACTTAAAACAACTTACTTGTATCCTATTTGCTGTTGGGTCAGAAATTTTCTTTTAATTCCTGTGCATTTTGATTAATGGAGGTTGCTCACTTGCATTTATTGTTATTTTATCACCCTTTCAGCTTGTAGTAAGGAGATAAAGTATTTCCTGTTTGATGTCTGAATATTAGATTTCAGTAGCCTGTCAGATTCTTTTCCAATGCTATAGTTCCGTAGTTACAAGATGTGATTCTTAAAAATGATGACATATGTGCGAGATGGCATTATTAAAGTTTCTCATGCTCACCTCAACTTGTCCTTTTATGTAGTTCAAGTTGTTCAACTAAGTGGATCCTTTGAGATAGGGGCATCTGGAGGCACTCAGATCCTAAGTGTTCAGTACAATACTGTGATATCTGGATGAATAGATTTTACAAATTAATAATTGCAAACAATGTACTATCAAAAATATCGGATGGCCAAAATCCTTATCAGATTACGGAAATTGGGGATATATTGGGGATATGTAAAAAATATTGGGGTATCATATCAGATGATGTTCATATGTGTTGTAATATGTAATCAAAATATATTTAATGTATTCTAAACATAAAAAATTACATCATGAACAATGATATACGACGTTTAGAGACATTACATATAGGAAGAAGTCAGAGAGAGAGAGAGAGGACATGAACAGAGGAGAGAGAGTAAGACAAAGAGAAGGGAGAGAGAGGGGGGAGAGAGGAAGAGAGAGAGGGGTCTAAGGAGGAGTGAGAGAGGAGAACTAGAGAAGAGGAAGATAGATAGAGGGGTCTGAGGAGGAGCTGAGAGCAAGAGGAGAGAGATTCATACTTGAGATCACCTAGCATTTTTGAGCTGGAGTGCCAGACAAAGAGGGAGGAGAAATATGAGTTTGACTAGGAATTTAGGCTATTTGGGTTCGGGAAGTTATTAAGTTTTTAGGTCTAGTGGGAACTAAAACCAAACCCAAACTCAATAACCTTTTTCATTTGGATATTAGTCAATATTAACCGATATTTCCGATGTATCGGAAAAAAATGGTAAAAATCAGAAAATGATAATTTTTTTCATAACTATTGTATCGGAAGGGCATCAAAACCGATATATCGGCCAATACAACGATATATCGGCCGATATTTAATACATTGATTACAAATTAATGTATGAACTATGAAGAAAGTGATCTGGAAATAGATGCAAAAATTAAGAAAGAAATAGACAGAAAGAATAGGAATAATAGTTTTGGTGAGGTCTTGAGGTTTATTGCTCTCAGGATAAAGCACAACTGTTTGAGCCAATATGAGAATTTTGCCCTGTTTATACCCCTAGTCTGATCAATATCATATCTGATAAGCTGAAATGACTGAGTGAAGCATGCCTCTTTCCATTGGGTGTGTTATGCGTCATGGCATTGCTTGTGATCATGTTTCTTGGACTATACCTCTACCTCAGGCATTCATTCAAGAGGTTTGTTACAGCTTTCTAATGGTCTGTTTGTTAAGTTAATTCCTATATCTTTATATTATTAATAGTTGTTGTTAACATACAACTCATCGAATTTTGGTGTGCTATGTGTCATGGCATTGCTTATGATCATGTTTCTTGGACCATAACGCTACCTCAGGTGTTTACTCTACAGATTTATTATAGCTTTCTTCTTGTTTGTTATGGCTGAGTTCCTGTATCTTTCTATTTATTAATGGCTTTTGTTAACATACATCTTACCAAATTTTGAATTGTCATTTTGCACCATATATCTCCAATTGTACATTTTGTTTCATAGAATTGTGTCATACCTTTGCAAATTATACCAAAAATCCTTTCTTTTGGCATTCTTTTGTTCTTCCTGTTTTCTTATGCTTGCTTAGCGCAATTTATTTTATCAATGCAGTATGCTCCCTGTGTGGAAGATGCAATTCTTGGTATTGTAGTTGACAGCAAACCTGATGTAAGTAGCTATCTGTCACATCTACTGTCATACCTTTTTTGTTTTACTTCCTTTACCTCTTGACTACTATTCTGGAAAAAACCTTTTTTATTGTTTCTAATTCATATGAACTTTTGGATTTATTATAAAGGAGTATTAATGAATCTGATATCGGTCCCTTCTTGGGTATCACTCTGTGTTGTAGCTCTAGGTTTCTTCAGCATCCCCATTAATATGTAATTTATTCCTCCATTTATAAAGTATACAAAGTATAAAGGGTCACTCTCCCCTTTCCTATCTTAAAAGCACATAGCTTGTGTCTGCAGTATGCCAGTATCTCTATTCCTCCTTATAGAGTTCCAGCTTTGTGCATCATGTGTCTTGAGTTTGGCATCAAATATGAGCGGGTTGCCTCTGACAGAAAGGTGGTTGCAAATTCTTGGTTGGTTTTCTCATTCTTTCATGGCTTTTCAGTCTTGTTACATGCCAGCTTGTTTTCAAGGAATCTGTCTGGATGATGGTTTAAGTATAACTAGTTTTATTACCATCAACACTTTCTCTTCTAAATACAACACCATCATAAAAGGAGAAATGTCTGGATGATGGTTTCATGTATAATTATTATCATCTATAGTTTCTCTCCCTAATACACCTCCATCACAAAAGCCTTTACATCACCATCACGTCACCTATCTGCACTATGTTTCTCCAGCTCTGATAAGTGTCGTATCTTCTCTTTGATTGACAATCATCATTTGTGGCTATACTTTCTTTGTCCTATTCTACATCAACATCATACCTTAGCACAATATCATGTTTACTTTTCATTTTCAAATAGTCTTATCCAATCTACAAACTTTTTGCTTCTAGCTATTGCTCACTTGGTGTCCTGAGCAGCCTAATGTGATCTTTACTAGTGATCTTTACTATTGTAACTTCTTCATAATTCATCATTAATGACTTGGATGCAATGCATTTGGCACATGTTCTCTGGCCACATTTTTTTTAAAATTGTCTTATATGTGAATGAAATACGATCAAGCAAACTTTCTTTTGTATTGCAATTTTACATAACCTGAAACTTGTGCCTTTGAATTTGACACTGAATATCATTGTTTCTCCAGAACTTTCTGATTGACATAAAAGGACCTTCTTTGGCATTTTTACCAGTACTTGCATTTGAAGGAGGAACTAGAAGAAATATACCAAAATTTGAGGTATCACTTTTTGGATCTAAAGCGTTCTAAGAGACCATTTCTGGCCTTTATGAACTTTCAATATTGGTTTTTATACTATTAGTAAATGGTTAGAGCAGATACCTGTAGCATATGCCAGAAAGCATACCTTTATTTATTGCTTTCCAGAAAACTCTTGTGCTCTTCTAGCTAAATTGTATGTTTGAGATTCAGCTGCTTCATATGGCATTGCACTCAAGGGCATCTTAATTATCTTCTTTCATAATAAGCACTGCTGAAAAAACATGTCTTCATAGCTATATATGGTTGTCTGCCTCTTATCTTTGAGCTGGTCTTTCAATAGTAATAATTATAATGCATGTAAACATACAGTTATAAATATAAAAACAACCATTGTCCTAATTTGCCTCCCTCCCCTTAGGATCGCATTGCAAGACGCTTTCAGATACTTGAATAGGGTTTTATTTGCTAGAGAAGTATAAGGTATAACTGAACCTACATTTATAATCAGACATTCAGACCTTAGAACAACATTTTTACCTTGACTTGCAGGATATGGTTCAATTACTAAACTGCTTTAGAGTGAAAAAGAGTTGGTCTGTGGCTAGCTACAAGGGAATGGTCTAGGCTGCATTATAAGGATTCAGGAATCTAGTTACACACATCTTTGCAGGGTCAAAATAGTTGCACTATCTTTTTATAATTCTATAAATCTGTAAATTACAGGAAGATTTTCTAATAGAAAGTGTTTTGTGTCCGGTTTCTGAGGTTTATTGTTAAAGCGCAGTACGTAGTAGGATTTGTCATTTATACTCTAATCAGATTAAAACAAGACAAACAAATTAACAAGTAAAATGGAAAAGCCAAGGAACCTAGAAACTTTCTAAATTAACCGGTGGACTTAAAGAGAATGGTTTAGCACACTCATAGATAGTAGTTGTTTAAAGAACAAATTTTCAAAACCGACCGAATTTTTTTTTTTTCAAAATCAACCGTTTTTTATTTATTTATCAAAATCGCCCCGGTTTTGTGATTAGCAGGTTAATCACTATCCTAAATAGTCGGGGTTGGCAACCCCGACTATTTAGGAGGGTGTTAAACCCTAATTAAATGGTGATTAGCAGGTTAATCACTATCCTAAATAGTCGGGGTTGCCAACCCCGACTATTTAGGATAGTGATTAGCCTGCTAATCACAAAACCGGGTCGATTTTGATAAAAAAAAAGTCGATTTAAAAAAAAAAAATTCGGTCGGTTTTGAAAAATTGTTCTTGTTTAAATTGTTGCGAGAAATAAACTATTGCGTTCATCATCTTTGTCTTACCTTGATGAACTTCACATTTTGAAATCCTTGAAATGTGGGAGTTGTGATTTGAACTTTTTGAAGTTAAGTTGACTACAAGTGGGTGAGAAGAGTGCATCGGCAAAGGAAGACAGCAATCCTCATAAATTCCTATTTTCATAGTTAAATGCGTAGCAAACAAGTTCGTAATACTCAGGATAAATTCTAAGGCTTTGGGTGACTTGAAGGTTACATAAGTTCTAAACTTTCATACTCCTTTTGTCAGCGTATCGAGACAGTGTTTGGATGAGACATGTCACTCTAGAGGCTTCATTCTGAGAGGCCTTCCGTGTAGAATCCTGAGGTTCAAACGACCTTCGGTGTCCAGGACGTAAAGGTTTGGTCCTACATTAGTGAGGGAATTTGGTAGTAGCAAGTAACCTCTTGCAGTAGCGTGAGGCCATATCTAGATGCTGGGTATTTAGAATGCCATTATTAAAAGAAAAAGGTTGGAATATTCCGTTTGGTGTGCAGTTTTATGATAAGTATTAATTGAATCCCCTTTACTTCATTGAAACCCCTTGCAGTAACCCCTTGAACTGTTATTTTTCCACCTAGGAAAGAGTTGTGAAGAATCTATCTTTACCTTGGAAGCTTTTTGGCCTCATTTAGCATGGAAAGATTGAATCTTTAGATTTAGAGATGTAAAGATATAAAGCCTACATCTATGATTATGTGCACCGTTGTTCAGTAAACATAAATACATGTCAAGGTGGGTAATTTTGTAGACAATTAGTTTACGATGTGTGCTAGATTGCCCTTAAACCATTGGGAAATTTGCATATATGAAGTTCCTATTTTTTAAATTTTGTTTTTTGATGGAGTGTTTCTTTTTTAGATAATGTCACTCTTATTATTTCTGCCTTTTCCGCAATAACTTCTCCTCAGTATCTTTTATGCATCAGTTATTGCTACTGTAGGTCGGTAGTCTTCTTTATGTGCGGGTAGTTAAAGCTAATAGCGGCATGAATGCGGAGCTTTCTTGCACTGATGGTACTTTTTTCCTTCCTTTCCTTTTTAACTACACGTTCTATCTTAGATTTTTTGCCATGACAAAATCATACGTTGATATCACAGAACAGGCAATTAATAGTGTAGGGCATTGCCTGCCATCTCTAGTGGTTAGACCTTTCTCTTTTTACCTATCCTTTCTAGGTTGTGGTGGACATATTTTATTGGCTTCAGCTTGTTATATTTATTATCTTATCATAAGCATATTACTAGCTCCTGCTATATCCAAATGTTTGGTAATAGAAGAGCAAATTGAAACTGACACGAACCAGTGGGGTTTTTTTTTAATATGAGAAACATGTCTATGTTATTATGACCTTGCTGAATGATATATGAATTTTCCTATAACAATGAAGAAACCTACCTATTATCATGTGCATGGAGGTGAGAGAAAGAGGTACTCTCTAATGATGCTATGTGAGACCTCTCTGAAATCCACGAACCAGGTGTTAAACACAAACCCATATGCAGCCTAATGTATTCTGTGAATGTCTACACTACACTAACAAGAGAGAAAAGAGAAGGAAAAAAGGTTTAATAGATGATGATAGTTATATCCTCTCAAAATCATCACAGACGCTTGTGAGAATCAGAAACAAAACCCACCCATATGCAGCCTAGAGCATCTAAAATCTGCAGGTGCAGGAAACCTATAAAATAAAATATGAATGTAACCAACCTTACTGTTTACCGCTACTATGAATGTAACCAACCTTACTGTTTACCGCTACTTCCATGTAAACTAGTTGTAGTGGTTTGGTTGGATGTTCCTAAGTTGAGCTATATGAGAAAGAAATATTGGTTTTTGTTACCGAATCTTTAGTGTTTGATATTTGGCATCCTTAAACTAAAATTCTCCTTATCCATATAGTATCCAAACTGATCAAGAAGATTTTCTGTAAACAATTTTAAAGGAAACATTTGTTATCTTTTAGTTTTCTTTTGTTGGACAAGATTGATTTGCTTAAACCACCGCTTTTAGTTTTGATACTTAAAAGTACATGTTCTTAATTTTTTTAGAGAAAGGGAGAATGTGGGATTTGGGTAATCAGAAGCTGATAATGTAAAGTTATATGTTGTTATTTGAACTTCTTTATTGATTATTGTTCAATCTTTCTTTTGTCTCTCTTTTCGTAATAGTTTGTTGTTGTCACGCCATGTGACCGAAAATATGGTGGATCTGAATGTGACAATCGAGCAGTATATTTATCAGTACTCTAATCTTCCCAATAAAATACATAGACGCATCGTTGCCATTGATCTCGGAAGACTGCTCCCCCCACCCCTCCAAAAAAAAAAAAAATCTGACATGAGTGTTTGGTCTTTATATTCCAAACAAGATCACTATAGTAAACATTTAATAGGAATTCGCTAGTTTATACACGCACAACATTTAGGAAGTAATAATAAGTGATTTGATTCCCTTTTTAAAAAGCAAGTGATTTTGTGACATAAGTGACTCCTTACTTTTACATTACATGTATATATATTGTGAGACCTCATCGCTATATAGTGGTACAAGTACGAACAGATATTAGATAATGCATTAGTTTATTCATTACCAGACTTCATATGTATGTGCGTGCGTGCAAAATAGATATCTATAAGTTTATGCCCTAACTATGAATAATTAATTTAAATACGCAAGTCTTATCTTCTAATCTTAATTCTATCATGTATCTTTTTTCACATAAGTTTAAATCAATTATCTTGCCTTTTACTTAGTCATAATCTAATTCTAATCAAACTCTTATATAAACTTAACACTAATTAAATACTATGCAATTATATGTAATCCTAACTTATATTTGCATAAACCCTCATCTCTCTAGACCCGTAGCATTTGTAGCCATCCAATATTGGTGTGCATTATTGCACAAAAATCTCCCTCAATTTCATAATTGCTCATAAGGCCTATAATCTTAAACCTATATGTGACTGTGAGACCTTGACCCAATATATGAGTATAAATACCATTGCTATTCTCTAATGCTTAGTAGAGTTTCATATTATTAGATAAGTTATAAATATAACTATTAGTTAATCTTGGGACTGATCAAACTATGGTTTGAATTGAATAAACTAACCGAACCATCCGATTTTGGGTAGTTTGGTTCGTTTTTTTGTTCTGAACTTGGTGCGGGGCAGATCAAACTTCTTCAATTCGGTATCCACTCGAACCCACCTTGTACAATTTAAACTCAGCAAAAAAAAATTTCATCGCCCACTAGCAATAAAAAATTCTTTGCATGTAGACGGACTCGCCACTCCTATGTGGTGTTGGTTGCTACTGACAAAGTTGTTTCTAGTCAATTTTATGTGAAGTACAATGAGAGTGGGGCCCACTCATCATATTTTTACAAGGTTATTGATAGTGGATAGCGTCGCGTAGCAGTGAGGCATTACTAAGTCTATTTGGGGCTATTACAACAAATTAATGGTAAAAAGCGCAAAATAAAATAGCGGTCTAATTTAGATATGTATAAATATTTAAAAAATAAGAAAAATTAAAGAAAAATCTAGAAAATCTACATAATTGATGATTTAAAGAGATCTTAAACATGAAATAGATATGTAACCATTACATAATACCGAAGACGACTGGAGGAGTCAAAGAGTCATCGTCTTCGAGAAGATGAGTTGAGCAGTGAGATGGCTGCAGTAGGAGGAGCTCACGGTGAGAAGAGGTGCGAGGAAGGTGCTACAGGCCGTGGGAGGCGGTGTGATGCAATAGTTACGGGTCAGGTTTAATTTTAAAAAAATAAACCTCAAACCGCTTTTAAATAGCGGTTAAAAAGTGGATTTTGCCCGTAATTGCTTGCTATTCGCGCTATGGTGCGCTATTGGCTGTTTTTGTGAGCGAAAAGCGCATATTTCGCAATATGTTACTGCTATTGGGTGATAGCGTAGTATGAATGGACCGCTAATGCTATTAGTGCCACTATTTATAATAGTGTATTTTTCCCATTCAAGACTTTTCCCAAATAGTAAAAGAAACCATTAACATAATTTAACTTCTCAATCTTTTGTTTCACTTCTATTCTACTCCAATCGTCAATCTTCCTTCTATCTTACTTTTTTATATTTTTGAAGTGATGGGAGAGCATCAGGTTCATGGACTAATCTAGTCTTTGTCCTTCATGTTGTTTTTTCCTGCCGAACATGTAACAACCTGAACAACCGACTGAACTAAACCAAAATAACGCGGTTCGGTTCAGTATCGGTTTGATTGAAATTGATTACAACTGGTCGAACGAACCGTTTGCTTACCCCTAGTTGATATTATTTATGTTAAAAGGCCCAAAATAGTTAAAAACCATTAGGCTTTGGATGACCTGTTAATTCAATCGTGTAGTCTAAACCTAGTGTAAAACTTATCCTCTAATTTTAAATAATTTAAATGACCAATCTTATCTCCTAATTGAAAATCCTAATTGAATTCTATCTCTTAATCCTTGTAGGAATCATCTTAAGTGGGTGCTAATTAATCAGAGCATTTTCGCTAGAACTTGGGGAATTATTATTATGAGTCAATTTTTTGAAAGTGGGATATTACAATGAGCTAATTGGTGATTAG